GGCTGGCTGCTCCTGATCCATCCCCTGCCCAGCCTGTACTTTGCTTGGGATTTCCCTGGCCCATGTGCAGAACCTTGTAGGTGGCCTCACTGAACTTCATGAGGTTCACAGCTCAAGCAAGTCACACTGGTAGTGAAGAATGCTGAGACCAGCCTGACTTAGCAATCCCAAAATTGAACATTCAGAGGAAGAACAATATTTCCCGGCAGAAACTGGCACCTCTGAGGATGTGGCAGAGTTCCTGATAAAGGAGCCAACAAGTGATAGTACTGATAATGTAGCCTGGAGACATGTGACTCATAGTCAATCACTTAGTACTGTAAAAGCTCAGTCCCTCTTTTTAATGGCAGGGTTTTCTAACATACCCCTTCTGACTGTGTGGGAAGACTCCTCCCTTGGGTGCAGACACCCCTCAAGGTTAATCCTCAAGGCTGAGCAAGAGATTTGCCCACAGGCATTGTATGAGTGAGTAATATCAATTTCCATAATTATTTTGCTAGCTTTAGTATCATTGTTTCAACATTGCTTTGATACATAGTGCCCTATACTAGTAGTTATAGCTACCTATACTGTGCTGTAAATAATTCTGATTAAGGTATTTTAGTCTTTTCATCATCATAATCAATTTCATTTCTTATCTACTTTATTCATATAAATGTATTTGGTTTGCCATCTTTAGTCCTGTGGGACAAAGTTGTATAAAGGCTCAATTACACCTATATAATAATTTAGAAATAAACCATTGAAAGACTGGGACTAGGATTGGATCCAGCTCCACCCAGACTCCTTTTTGAGAAAGAGTTTAGAAAGCAAGAGGGTCCATTCTGCACACTGTGACTGAACAGGGCAGGGGGCTCTTCCCAATAGACTTTGTCTGAAGCTCCCATTCTGCCCCCGACACTCTTATAACAATTACCTTTCATTAAATAACACAATTATTTTGTTACCTGACTCTAAAAGCATTTTCTGTGGAAGAAGCTTACCAGTGAGTAGCATTGCAATGTAAATGACTCAGCATAAATACCTGAGTCATTTGTCATTATTAATTTAAAAAAAATCTATACCAGAATACTTAGAGAAGCATACATAATTTTCCAAGTTTTAAATAACATATGTAATATTTACATTCCCTTTAGAAGAGACAATGGCACTTTCTCACCTTTGTTACCTTCAAAGTTTACATTGTCAAGAACCCACTATCAGCAATTAATTATGCATTTTAAGTAACAGTTTTGCATTTCTGCCCCAGTTTTGCCAAAACTAAAAGACTCCGTTCAGATGCATCTGTTTTCCAGTGACATCTATGATTGCTTTCTTTCATTTATTCAGTGAACCAGCTGTGTTGACTGATGTCTGAGAAATCAAGTTCAGTCACAGAATAATTCCATTGTAGTCAATTTAGTTGCAGCAAAGACCAATTTGACCCATGGAGCTCCATATATTGTAAAAGGTCATGCAGCCTGTCAGTAGTTCAGACAGGATTTAAATAGAGGATCCTTCTGAATCCCAATTCAAATGAGACTCTTTTGACATCATCATAGTGTCTACAGATTCAGACTGACATTTTGTCACTCACAGCACTGCTTATCCGTCGCCACACCAAAAAGTGACTGTCATGGCTTCAGCCACATGCCCTCATTCTTTATTTCCATTTATTTATAACTCTCTCCTCTATTCAGTGGCAGCTGTTAAAACCAACGTGGATTTCCTTTCTCTCTCCCTCCTGGGAGCTGTGGATGAAGAAGAGGTTTCAGACACATTTCAGGAGGGCAGTAGCAGGGTACTGACCTCAGCCTGGGAACCCAGCAGTTTCATTAGTGCCAGAGCAGCAGCTTGGCAGCTGAAAGCAGCTCTACATAGCACAGAGCATGCCTGCATGGGATGCTGACAGTTACAATAATACTCCAATTATCAAAGACCCTCACTGAATGTAGTGGTTTGGATAATGTGATTTATTGAATCTCCTTCTAGTCCTGTATTTGTATGATGCTTGTAGGATAAAGCTAAAAAGGGTTTTATGGAGGCAAGGAAAAGGATGGTCATCATTCTGAATATCTACAAGCAATCACAAGGAAGCTGTGACTTACCTCATTGTTATACAACTTCCTTATTTATTATTATTTCCCTACAGTAACTTTATATTACTTATAAAGTAATTATTTTTCTTGTTTTCCCCTTTCACAATGTATTTTTCATTGTAATATAAACCCTAACTTATTTGAAATTATTCATAATATCTGTTAAAATACCATCATCATTATATTTCACATAAAACAAAACAAAATGTGCTTTTGAGCATTACCTTTAACTCAGAAGTTCCTTCTCTACAGTCCTCAAATTTGTCAAATTCTTTAGTGTAAGAGATTTGGATTCGTAATTGTAAACATAACATTTACAGTAATTTCATTATTATATATAATTTTGTAGATAATTCCATTTAATGTTTTGATTAAACATTACTGTGAAGCATTTTGTAGTTATATGTGTGTGTGTTTGTATATATACACACACACACATATATATATATGAGCTGGTTGTGTAACACTCTTTCGTTGGGTACCTTAACATCCAATGTGATGTGAAATTCTGCTTGCCTCTGCCTGCAACAGGTCCCAGGTAAATTTTGCCCCTCAAGTTCCCTCCTGAAGAGGGTGGATACCACAAGGGTGGTTACTTCTGCACATGGTAATTAGAAGGGCAAGGTTAGGCTTTCTGGTTATGTCCCAATATGGGCCAGTTTTGCCAGACAGGCTTTTACTAGCTTAGTAGAATTTCTTTTGGTGCTAAATTTCTGTGCTTGTAAAAATTCCTGTATAGCCAATATAAGAGTGGTGAATTTTTATTTTTTTTCTAGGATAGTTTATTTCACTCAGATATCCAGCACAAACTGTTCCAGCAAGTGTGGGTTTTTCTGCAATAAACTGCATCTGCACTACAACAGTAAACATGGCCCAGTATATAACAAACCTCAGCCAAAAGGGATTTTGAACTATGACTTGATATTCTAGGATGGAGTGAGAGATGGCACAACATTTTTACTCTGTCATCTAAGAGGATTTTCAATTACGTTCAGATATTCAGATTATAAAGCTGTAACATTTTAACTGTAAGAATTTCTATTTTTTTCTTGCTTTAGATTGTGCTTCAGTTACTGGCCAAGACAGTGAGTATCTTGCTCTGACACAGCTTATGTCAACCAACTAAATTAGACTTTGTGAAAAAGATATTAACACTACACTTGAGAGATCAAAACAATATACTGATAAACTTCAGTTGTGAAGAAGGTTAAACCTTTCATCAAAAGCAATTTTATAATCAAGTTAGTCAAGCTGTCCTGCCCATGATTAATGCACTATCTCTAAGGGAAAGACACCACTGCAGATAAAATTCATGAAGTACTAACCATGCAATTCCTATTAAGATACAGGTTGTTGCATTAAACAAATTAAGCTAGTTTAAGGAACTTATGCTTCCAAGTAGTTAATGAAATGGTATATCCCAAAAATTTCAATAAAAAATAATTCTGTTTCAACTGTTAAATTTCATTGTGAGGGAAAAGAAATGCACTGACCCCTAAATAACCCCACTCTCCTATCGTATTTGTGCTTCTCTGCAATACCAAGAAGCTCTCATAGCTTTTCTACTTTCATAAACAGAGGACAATATATAGGGCCAGTCTGAGTAGCAAAAGCGCATGAGTAGTCAGGAGTACATGCCACTGATGGAAATAAAATTATTAAATCTCCATTTCTTAAGATGAGATGCCAAGCAAAAACTCTTACCTCATGTACAGATGGCTGGAACCTTCCCATCTGTTAGTAACTTCTGGCTTCGAACCCCTGCAGGATCCTAACATCAGTCCTCTGAACATATCAGCATGTCTGAGGAGTATTAGGAGTCAGAGAGATCCCTGTTCTGGGTCTACACAACTACTTCAGCACAAATATTCCCCTGGGACTTTTCCTCAGTTTAGATGTGTTTGTGTGTATAAGACATGGAAAAATCAAAACCCACCCAAGAAGCCATACTAGACTGAGATCTCAACTGGCTCCAGGGAATACTGAAGCAGGAAACTAGTTTAAAATCCTGGTTCTGTTGAACAGCACCTCTGGAGTGGAATGTTCTCATGTGCATGGTGGTGGGGCACAGTTGGTAATACACTGATATACTTCTAGCAGTGTCAGATATTACTTGAACAACAAAACAGTATCATTCTTCACCGGGCATGTTTCCTTTTAAGTTGAAAATTGCATGCTGCACAGATACCAGGTGTCTTTACTTACAGCCTCCAACCATTGACATCTGTATTTGTAGCACAGAAAAAATGCATTTACTAAAGCAGAGCCTCCCAAGCTGTGGCTTTTGTAGCACTGGTGATACACAAACTACTTCCACACCACATGCGGAGCCAGGGCTGCCTACTAGGAGATACTCAGTTGAAGTATAAGATGAGCATCCCAAATCTGCTGCTGTTGGGAATCAGCTACTACCAGCCTGGAGGCACTTACCTAGTGGCTTACACGGATTCCTATACATAGGCAGTAATTATTACTGTTAATGGGCATTGTTCAGAACAGCTTTATTATCTAAATCATTCAGGAGATCTTAGACTCCATAAAGTAACAGCAGAAATAACTTCAATCAATATGGATTTGTGTTCAATAATTATGAGTAAAGCCATTGCTACAGGTCAACTTAGCATTAGATATAGTGGTAGATGAAACGATCAGGAAATATCAGGCAAGAAGGAGCAGAAGTAAGAAATAAATTAGGAATTTCCACTGGCAAAGGTCAGCAAATCTTCCTGACCATAAGCAACCAATATATATCTGTATCACTGTGTAAAGAACGTAGAAAGCAAATAACTCACACGGAACAAGGCAGCTTGATAGTTTTAAGATTCCTTTACCTTAAGGAAACTAAGAGAATGACAGATAACAAAAGAGTAAGGCCTGTATTTCTAGTCTCCCAAGACAAGCATTGAGAACTTTGGCCTTGAACATAGGTAGGAATTCTTTACCAATGAACCATACATCCAGTCCCAATCTTCAAGATAAAATGGACACAAACATGTTATCAGAGCTCCAGATAGTCTTAGATTTCATATCACTGCTAGATAATATGGGGTGTTTTTCACATCACACCTGCATAGCTTTGCTCTTTGCCGTCCACTGTCCCTAAGGAAGTATTTTAAAAATAACACATTTATTTCTGAGAACCCAATTCCTCTGGGCTGGGTGCCTCAAAATGCCTCAATTCTCAGCCCATCGTCTGGAAACTTGTGTCAGATGTGAGCAGGGAGCAAGGGGATGGTTGTAACCCAGCACGTGAAGTGACTTGGACACGAGTTTTACCTCCGCAAGGCCGAAGGGGTGCAGGTGTCTGCAGGGTGGGCTGTTCTGCGGGAGCCTGGCCTCGCCCGGACAACGCAGCTCCCGTGAGTGCCGCTACCCCGGGCATGGCGGCACTGCCCGGGCTGCCGAGACAACCGAGCCCAGGAAACTTTGTCCCGCAGCACCCGGCGGTCGGAGCATGCCCGTGCTCCCAAACGGGACTGCAGGCAGCGCTTACCGCCCATCGGAGCCGGCCAGGAGCACAACGGAGTGCTTCCCTTTCGGCGGTGCCGAGGAGCAGCCCGGCCTCCAGGGGCAGAACGTGCCGGCAGCTCTGACACTGTCCCGCCATGGCTCCGGGACTGCCCGTATCCCTCAGACACGGCCCCCCGCCGCCATCTTGCTAACGGCACCGCTCCACGGTGCGGGACCGGGCGGTGTGGTGCCCTCTGCCCGCCACGGTGAGGGGCCGGGCGTCGCGGAGCCCCGGCTCGCCATGGCGGGGCGCCGGGCGCTGTGGAGCTACTCCGTGCAGCTCGTCGCGCTGCCCTCAGCGGCGGGCTGGTCAGGTGGAACGCCGCAGCCGTTCAACGGCTCCTACCGGAGACCTACAGAGCCGCCGCCGTGGAAGGGGTGGAGCGGCACCATGGAGGAGGAGGAGAAGGAGGAGAAGGGGGACGAGACTCTTCAGGGGCGGCAGCAGCAGCCTAGGAGGTGAGCGGCGCTCCAGCGGCAGCAGCGCTCTGGCGCCGGGGGTCTCTGCCCCCGCGCCTTCCTGTGAGCAGGGGGAACCGGACCGAGCCGAGCGGCGGCTCTCGCCCCGTGCCCGTCCGGAGGGGAGGCACTGCCCGGGCCGCCCCCGTCAGAGCCCGGCTGGCGGCCGGAGGAGCGGAGCACCTGCTCCGAGCGCGGCAGCGGGGCTCTCCACAAACACCCACGGTACCGGGACCCCGCCGGTGAGTGTGGGGTCACCGGGCTGAGCTGCTGCGGCAGGCGGTGGGAGCGGGGTAGAGCGGGCGCGGGCACCCGCTCGGAAAAGTTCGCGGGTGGGCGGGCGAGGTGCGTGGGGCCGGCGAGCCCGGCTCCGGCCGGGCAGGAGCGGCACAGCCCGGCTGCCCACGGAGCTCGGCGTGTGCTCCTGCCCCGCTCCCTGTCTGCCGCCCCGGCTGGGCACGGACCGCCACGGGCGCCAGCTCCAAAACCAGCTGTGACCGCGGGAATCCTTTCGCACCGGCCAAAGAAACCCCGCAAGAAAAGTCCTGCGTTCGCTCCCAGCACAAGGCTTTCGTTTCTGTTCGTTTCTGTCAGTTGACAGTAAAACACGCTGCAGCAGCGCTCGGAAAGAAACAAGTTATATAATCGCAAAAAAAAAAAAAAAAAAAAAGGATCCGCTTCATAGTGTCGCCGGCTTAGAGAATGTTTTCTTTTGAAGAGGAGACACGAACAGATGTTTCTCTTCGAATTCTATAGTGCGAAGTGGAGGATATTAAGGAGGTCATTTAATGTAATTAGTGCAGTCAAATAATCTCAATGATCGTCAATTATCTCTAGCTAGCAAGGGTTTGGGGAAAGTGTTTGCTGACTGCATGCAGTAAAATTAATGAACTTATGCAGAAATGTTTTTTCTGGTGACGACTATGATGTCTTCCATTTGCTAAATGGCGATTATGAAGCAAGTTTTTAGTTTTAGAGGCAAGTGCTATTTGTACTTAAGTATTTTTTCTTTAATTCTCAAACTGCACTGACTAAAGTGGCATCAAAATTAAAGGTAGTAACAGGAAAACTACTTCAGTTTTCTTGTAAAAAAACCTTTGAAAAGAGTATTTTTTATGTATAGTAGCAGCTGTATCAGTTAATAAAGTAGGAAGCTTATCTTATTTTGTAGATAACATTTTGAGGAAGACAAGAATATTATTATTTTTACTTATTAATTCAAGAATTATTGAAACATTGGCTTTCAAAATACCCCAAATTATCTCAAACTGAAATGCCTATTCTAAAAAACAATGGGAATTTTTAATACCTGGAGGTTGGAAAGCCCTGTTTGATTCAGTTATAGATGATGGAGAGTTGTTTTTGGGAGAGGAGGGAAGTAAGGGATAACAGTGAAACTGTTCAAATATAAATAACAGTTACTCAGCTTCTGCTTGGCCTCAAATCAAAAGAGATATGAAGCCTTTTTAAGAGGAAGCAATCCACTGTTATAATTTTATTCACTTGCATTAACTAAGTAGATTTGAGGAACAACCAGGAGAAAAATGCTATTTCCTCGGCCTTTATAAACTCAAGATTGAACCAAAACTGTTAATTCTTCGTTCAGAAATAGCTTTAAAGTTCTTTTCAGCAAAAAAGGAAAGCAATTATTTTGTCTGAGATGAGAAAAAACAGAAATACTGCTGTATTAATTAGTGTCTTTATGTGTAACACCTGCAGTGAAATTAGTTTTGTTTTTTGTCACATCTATGAATCCTTTCTTTATCTCCCTTTAATTTTTTTCAGTCTATTGATTGAACTTTATAGGCTGCAGTGTGAGCCCTAGTTCTAATGAATTCAGAGCCAGGACCATGGAAAATCACTTGATTGCCTTGTGCCTAAAGATTTGAGCAAAAAGGATTTTTCTGTAAGATAAATGCTGCACTTAGTTTAAATATTCTTAGAAAATCTAGGAAAGAAGTTATGTGTTATATACTCTTGGCATCTTGGTGTTTAGCAGCTGTGCAAGAAAGGAATAATTTTGGGTTTGAGTAGCCTAGAATTGTGCCCAAGCAGATAAACCTGGCAAAGCTGTTCAGGAAAGAGAACTGGGTATTGCCAATTGACAAGTATGAAAAACAAAGTTTGCTAAGATGTGTGAGTGAAAAATTGGGTGTTAAAGAATTTCTGTCAAGAGTTACTTCTTCTGTAAGACCTGTTAGCTGTGGTTGGAGCTGGGAGTCCTACTGCCTGGTGAGTAAGGCTTATGATATGACAACAGGTTTTGTTGCTGGAAATATTTTTGCATGCTTTGGACTGGTTTTTGTTGGAAGGTTTCAGTGATATTCAACTGTTTCTGATAAGAATGTGGCAATAGCAAGGTGTTTATGTTAAATGAAACACTTTGTCTCCTTAAAACACCTATGTATTTAGGATGGTGCCTTGAAAATTAGTAGATGGCTCATGTTTGTGTTGGAAGTATGCCTTGACTCTTTCATAAGAAGAAAAACCCAAACCACACAACTTCTAGTATTAATAATTCTGTTGTTGACTAACAAACAAAGCACTTTGCATTTCGTTTAGAGTGCATGGAGACATTGTAATCTAGAGTTGTGGGGATAGAATCAAATGCCCTTTATATTTAGGGGAAAAGGGTGTAATGAAAAACATTTACATATCATGATGTTTCCAGTTTCCTTCAGGATTGATGTTTTGCTGTGTCTCTGTACTGTTCCTTGGAATTTCTTCTTAAAATGGTTGAGTTTCAGTCAAAGAACTATAAGGGTGCTGTATTGGGTGGGTTTTCTGGCTTTCCAGTATGAAGTTTGGATGTTCAAAACTTTCAGTATTTGGAAAGGCCGGTAACCTTTTGGCTTAACTCATTTTAAAGTTGGCCTTTGAACAGGTGCATTGAAGAAAATCATCTATTTTAGTTAAAAAAAAAAAATTCACTTCCTTATCTTACCTAACCTGGAAATTATTTGATTGGATTTCAATAAATTTGAATTCAAATGTTATAAATAGTTCTGTAATAGTTCATATATGTATGAGGTGCATGTAAATACATAGAGGGAGAGAAAGAATGTTGTTAGGACAAGCAAAAGTTGATTTTTATATTGAAGATCAAGTAGAATAGAAAGAATTTAGGGAAGTATTTTCACGTTGCAGAGAAATTACACTGGACCCAATGTGCCTGGACCTTGAACTGAAAAGAGGAATCAAAATAGACAACCCTTTAAATATGAATAGAAACAAAATTTTATGACTGTATTAACTTAAAAATAAAATGGAGTTCTTGGGTGTTGCTGCACTTCCTGGACAACTGAGGTTTTATAGAGTTTTAAAGGATTATTCTTGGTATGAGTCTAGAGGAGGTTTGCATAGGTGTCTGTTCCTTTCTGGGGAGAGGAGGAAAAAGAAAATTAAAAGGCTTAGTAAATGAGGTGGAGATAGCACTTGCACACATAAAAGTGCTGAAGTCGATGGGAAATGATCTTTAGATCCTACTTTGCCATGTGGATCCTATGCATCAAAGCTTTTACATGATTTCTGTTCATTTTTATGGAAACAGTTCTTACATTGCCTCTCTAACCACATGCTACAAAGGAAATCAGTTTTCTCCCACGGCAAGTTGAAGTGGAGCCTTAATTTCATTACATGTAATAGCATTTGGGTTTAGTCATATCTAATTCACATTAAGATGTTAGCTGGAAAACCTTTACCCTTAGGATGGAGTGTGAGCTTGTAATAGTTTAAAACTTTTTTTAGTTAAGAGAAATGTATGCTAACAGCTTCAATAGCATCATAACTTAAAATGCACACTCCAAGATGTAGAGGCTGTTAACACACAGGAGTGGCTAAAGTGTGTTTTTAAATGCTCAAGTTCATAGTTTGACAATTTTTTCTAACAGTAAACCCCATCCTGGCAAGGCGTGCCTCTGTCATTAACTGGGGACACATCAGTAACCAGCTGAAACTAATGAGCTGCTCATTTGCATGAATAGTTACACCAGCGTTAAAGCTGGGCTCTGGGTCCTATAGCTGCCTTAGTACAAATTTCATGTTTGCTCTTTTGGAAAAGCTGTATTGAAATTCTGTCTGAGTATGAGGGGCCATCCATGGAGATTGTAGTTGCTGTTGGAATCCACAACCTACCTGTACAGCTGTGTGCATATGCTATCTACACTGACGTTTCTGTTGATTTAAAAACTGTTTGCATTCGATTTGTGACCTGGGTGTTGTCTTGTGTACCATAACACAGCTGTAATGCACAAACCTTGTTCTGTGTGTCAGCCTCAGTCCTGCAGAGCAGGTAAGAAAACTTTGATTCCAGCTCTTGTTCTTTCAACATTCTTCCCTATAAATTAACTAGTCTTGTGAAACTAGTTGTTTAGGAAGGGCAAAGGAAAACAATTTCCTTTCTGGTGTAGGGAGATTTGACTCCGGCTTCCCTTTGGTGACTGCTTCGGCAATAGCACAGAATTACACTGCTCATGTGCTTAATCATAATGATAGTCTAGGCTGCTCTTTCAGATGTGATGGCCACAAGCCAACTCTTGGGTTCTTTTATTCAAGACTGCAGTAAAAATGAGGGTAGAGAGGAAAAGAATTTCTTTTAAAGGCCTATATCGCTAAAGAAATGGGCTCTTGGGTCTGTCATCTCTGTTCTGCTGCATGTCCCCTATGGACAGCTACTGTCATATCGGGGATCACAACCTAAACAGGATATGCATGTAACAAAAATCTTCTATCATATTATCACAGATCATAGACGTGTTTGGGAACTACAGAATGCTCGTATTGGACGGGGACAATCAGCTGGGCACCTGGAAACAAAGGGAAAATAGTTATGTGTTGTCCCAGATCCAGGATCTTTATTCAGGTGACACAATGCCCGCAGCTGGTCAGATTTAACCCTGCCTTTAGAAATAATTGGCTCCAGGGACTACTGATGGGTCTCTCTCTCAAGCCTATTTGCATTTGTATCCAGAGGCATGTAAAGGTGTAGCTGATAGGCATGA